CAATTGACCTTGAGTGTGCAACAAATATTTGACTGGACCTTGCATGTACGGAATTACATATCATATGTAGAGGTTAACCTTAGGCGTCTGTAATTCAGAGGAGCTCACAGATTCCACCAGTCCCAGAGTACGCGAAGAGAAGAAATCGTAGTTGGAACAACGTCACGTTTACACAATCCTCAATCAGATCTTCCTTACTTGGTCTCTCACCGTGTAGAACCAGATGGAGATTTTGTCATCGATCAAATTACAATGCAACTATAACACGTTGATCACATGCATTGATCTGTACATCTTGACAATGAATATGAACCGGTTCTCTTTATCTCTACAGCTACTCCACGACCAGAAGACCCTCCCCGACTAAGCTTTAGTTTTCCTTTCAAATGTACAGTAGAAAACTTATTAACCTTAGCGTCGCCTATTCACTGTCAGACAAATGCCCAGGTTCTGGATAGGGTCTGATCTCCGAGACCTTAGTTGGTGGATCGCCAAGAGTAGAACATCAGAACAGGCCATTTCGTTTGGATTTCTAGGTTAAAGGCCTGTTCCAAGGGGACAACACTTTGCAATGGATGTATGTTCGCAATGCATTGAAGAATACACTTCGGTAAGAGTGTTGCAAACAGACACATGAAGGAGAGAAGAAACGGACAGAAATCGTCTCAAGATCTCTCGTGCAATCCACGCTCACGTCACGATTAAGTAACCTTGATCGTGACGTGAATTTGGAACCTAAGAGCACCTCACCAGTTTTAGGTGTGTCAGTTCCAAATCTAAGATAGGTTTTTGCTCAACGAATTTACTTTTACATTTCAAAGGCGTTTCGGTCCTATACAGGTGAGAGCTGGAATGTGTCCTTCCTGCTCATTGACTGCATGGAAGAATCTTGCTGTTGCCACGTCAAGGGCACTAGTTCGTTAGAATGGAACACGCGCTTTTCCTACCAGGCCTGTCATCGATGTACAAATTAGTCCCGAGAAGATTCCAGAAGAAACAAAGACTATTCATCCATCCTCAGCAGAAATTTATTCAATCGTTTTAAATAGCACTCTGAAAGTTTGATCCATGAGAAAAAATTCTAGATGATGATTTTACAATTGCACGTACTGTGAAAGTCATACAAAGTGCTATGGTTACTCAGCTACACTCCTTATTCAACTGAATAAATGAGTAACAATGGAAGATAATTTACCTCTATCTAGCATCTCTCACAACCTCAGTTTAGACCAGTTGAAAATCAGCTGAAATACTCAATGAGCTCCCACTCCACGACAACCCAATACTTTGAGGTGTGATGAGTACCTCATCCAATCATAAGCGACAAGGTATGGTTTGAATAGTTGAACTTTTACTAAGTCATCTACAATATCCGCTCTCACCTGGGAATCTCCACATTACAATTTAAGGGAGAGGCTAGTTATCACTCACCCTACAAATATTAAATAAATTTCTTAAGAATAGAGTTATCTCATTTCCGAATAAACACAAAGGTTCTTACGCAACATTGTACGAGAACGCGTAACTGCTCTATCGGTAGTTACGCGTTGAGTCAAGGCTACTCCATCATCAAGGGTTGGTAACAAGAAAGATAGAGCTATCAATGAACTTGATCTTGTGTGTTACCACTAGAACAAACCTGTTGTCCTAACCATGCAATTAGTGTGAATAATGATTAGCATAAACTCAAGGATAACTAACCTCTACCAAATTTAAACCTAAATAGTGGTGGCGGAGAGTAACTCTATCAAATACTTAATACTAAGAGTGAAAATGATTGCTGCAAAATTAAAACTCAGAGTTTTGTCAAATGAATCAATGCCTACTAAAATCATGACTCTAATATTTATCTACAACACTTTCGTTTAATGAAGAGGCAAAGAGCCCATATCTCTTACACACATTCAATGGTTACCTTTTAAAAGCGCTTTGGTTAGCACATCAAGACTTATGTCTGTGGTTGGGGGGTGAACTAATCTAGTTACTTTTTCATCTTCTTCCTCCTCAACAAATCCTCTATACAGATATGCCCAATGAGAGGGAGATGCACAATGTTTTTGCTGAGTGCAACAGGTTATGTGCTATCACATTTAATCTTGTTGGAGCTTTTTGAATACAACCTAGTTCGCTCAACATACTCCTTGACCAAATTAGTTCCCCAGTCGGTAGTGAAAAAGTCAAAAAGTTAGCTTTTTTGGTTCACAAGACTACTGACTTCTGCTGTTTGCTCCCCCAACTAATTGTTTCTACCACTCAAAGTAAAAATAATAATCACCACATCATATTTCCAACTAGTATCAGAAAAACCTTTGAGAGGAAGTTGAAATTCTAATTCCTAGTATTTCAAATACATACCGAGAGTGACCTAAGTACTCTTTGTAGACATCTCCAATGTGATGGACTTGGACAAATAGTTTACCTGGCTAGAACTCCAACTCAGTGACCAATGTCTAGTCTTGAACACACCGTAGCAAATATGAGTGCACCCAGTGCACTCTGGTATAGGAACTGTATGTCTTCAATGATTTCCCTGCTAGTTTTATTCATCTCCTTCAAACTGTAGCGATGTTCCAAGGGGGTGGAAACAGGTTTACCATCCTCCATCCTGTACCTATGCAGAATTGGTTTACCCTTTCTTTGGGTTTGTGTCAATATGGATGCCTAGAAGAAACTATAGAGAACCAAGTACGGTTGAAACATAAATAAGAGATTCTTAATCCCTTTCCCATCAACAACAAATTTTTAACGATATCTGCTTTGAAGAGTTCTTAATGCTCGTTGTAGACACTCAAATCTGACTGTGCTCCCTTGAAGCCTTACAATCCTCAAATAAGCATCAAGCTTCTGCATCAACTCCTAGGAGCTTGCTTCAGCCCATACAAGGCTTTTATGAGCGCCTCATCATGTTCACGAAACCCTTCGACCGTCAGACAAGATGTACATCACAGTACTTCCAGAAGGTTGACGGTTTCTAGATCTTGATCTATATCTTCAGACTTCAGCATTGTGTATGTTAACGATATCATCCGAAGTATCTTTGTCTCATCGTGTACAACAGATGCTGCTTAGATCCTTCCATGAGATTAATGCGCGATCTTTTCTGTTGAAAACAGAAACATGATTCTTGACTTCTCCTGCAATATGTTGAGCTTCTACAGTTCATATGCTCTATTCTTTTCAGCGCTTTCTGTCAATTGATATACAACCTTATCAGACGTGTCGGAATGTGGCGCAATGAGCTGACATCGTCAAGACTCCACAATTCAACTGAAATACGTTCATTGTTGTGAGTCTTTGTCCATCCATGAGTTGGTATCTATATTCTATTTCAGAAAATCAGTCACCGGAACCTTTTTCGGAATTTTTGTGCATGGGTTTCAAGAAACCAGTACTAAAATGTTTGACTCAGTATCCATATCCACTGTAGTGACCTGATGGATGCTCAAGACAAAGGCTCCAGCATTTCACAATCAACCTAAGCATCTAGAAGTACACTGACTGAGCCCACCCTACAATCATGTTGGGTCTTCAATCGTCTTCCTTCATTAACAGAAATTCTCATAATAACAACTAGTAATCTTTTAAGAATTTAATATCGTGCTGCAGTGGAAATACAGAAGTGTGATGCTACATGAGCTGGGGAGCCACTGCACTGCAAAAACTGTGTTTAGGCTTAGTCATAGCATTGAGTCCTAAATTTTCATCTGAGATGCACAACACCGAATTCAGAGATCATGCAGCTCTGTAAAGTGGTGCTCAGCTTTTCCGCGCAGCAATTCGAATGTGACAAAACCAGTTTGGACTCTGTTTGTCGTATGCAATGTCTGTATGTCGTATGATTGAACCCAGTGGAACAAAATCCTATCTCCCTGGCTGAGAAATAGAAAAAAATTAAATCATCTTATGTTTCCCATAAATTAGAGTTAAACTTGACCCAGTTGAAGTTGCTGCGAAGATTGTCGTCTCTTTTGACGTTAACAGCTATCAGACGGATTCCTTGGCAATTAAAATTCTGTTTCCGCTTTTCGGAGTCATCTGATCTTTCATATTTGTCAACTCTCGAAAAAATTTACTCTGTATGGGGTCTCAAGTATTTCAAAATTATTCATAACATTTGAGTGGCGTTCCTCAAGCTTGTGAGACTTTAGTTAAGGATCAGTAGATAAGGTGCAGCTCGTATCCAATTCGTCGACCTGCAAGCTTCCAGGGACAGGTCCGCAGCTTCGTAGTAATATTGCAGAGAGAAATTCTTACCCCCAGCTTCATCTTAACAGTGGGAGGCTATCTGTCATCAGAAGCAGAAGGAAGAAGAATAGAAGTAATACTGGTGAAACGTGATTGTTGGGGCGGGACGCACTGACTTGTGAAATGATGTCGTTGGGGAAGCAGATTGTTGATAAAAGCCTTAAATACATTCAGCGGAGATCATCGTTGCGGGAAAACAGGCTCGAATCGTATCCATTTCGCAGAAATGGATACGGAGTGTCACCGTGCAAACTACGAAGAAGAATTGAGTCGAGAGTAAATAGGAGAATCTGAAGAGAGCAATGCTGGACGGAGAATGGCATCCGCCTGGTGCAGCTTACTGCGGATTGTGTATAGCGACCATGAATATATTTCAACTGTGACTGGGGTCTGGCTTCTGGCAAGTTGTTATGAATTTATATGATCTTAACATGCACTCAGAGTTCGGTGAATTACTAGTTGGTGCCTCAAATGTCTAGACTCGACGCCGTGTCGTTGACTATCAGACCGCGTTCGTTGACAAGAATGTAATTATTCGCAGTGGGCCCCACAAGAATCAATGATCATTTCACGCTTGGTTTTTCTCCTTCATACATGATTGTTGACTTTACATGTATGTTTCGAAGAAGGAGGGCGTGCGAATGGAAAAGTGAGAAATCCTGTGAAGACAAATGTGTTCCACAAGATAATGGAATATGCACACGCACGGCTGGGCACTGGGATTTATATATAAGGTGGCTGTTGGGGAATCTATTGCGCCATCCAGCTGTTGTCATCACTACTATATTGCTGTAATATCATCTTACATATCATCCCCTCTCTGGGAAGCCTGCATTTCATTACAAGACTTCCGAAAAACCCTCACTGAGAAAAAAACCCTCATCCGAGCTGTGAATCTGCTGCCTAGCGCGGAGTCAATCATGGCTAGGATGACAATGCACGTATTGACCAGAAAGGCCTCGAGGTCCAAGTCAAGGTTATCTCCATTGTCACCAAAGGTGTGCAATTTCTAGTAGCAAGTACAAGTAGACATTGCCGTAGGAGGTCTGGAAGAAGTTGAAGAAATTGCAAATTTTATCAGTTCCAGTTGGTAGTTATGTGGCCTTCCGATGACAAAACTTCCGTAGAAATGTGCTGATTGCGATTTTAAATCTATGGTTGCTTGGGTCTGTAGCGGATCGAACTGAAGGTACCAATGTGCTGCGAAGGCTGCGAAGAAAATGTGCGGGGGGAACTGACATTACTAGAAGGTGAGACTCTTACACCATACCTTGCATCGTCATGCGTTTAAATATTTCAGCTCCATATCTCGTTTATGTATATAGTCGGTGACCTCCAGCTACAACTGATGTACAAATTGTGTGTTCTCTTGGCCATTCAGGAGTCAAAGAAATCGACATAGACGTAACCACCCAGAAGGTGATTGTCCTAAGCCACTACGATGTCCATTTGGAACCCTGCGTTGTCTTAAATGCTGTGAAGAAGGTTAAACATCGGGCGGAGCTGTGGAGAAATTGATATCCAGAGCTGTTCCACAATTCAAAGATCTGATCTTCATATCAAGAAACTAACATTGTAAATGTGGGCTCGCCAAGAGCCACGAACCGTGGCCTCTGTAAGCAGTAACCTGAAGCGATCATTCGTATGTTTTAATTCTGGGTTCCACATCGACACAAGTTGTAGATACATTTCACACGGACAAATTCATTTAGTAACAAGTTTGTAAAAAGACGTGAACAGATCATGAGATGTTGATCAAAGCTAAAGAATGGAAGCAATTTTAGATCAATTTGTAATCAATAGGATATTTGTACTTAATTGCTGCTAGATACCCACTTTTGAGCTGGTTGCTTATATCTTGAGATGAGAAACCTAGCAACCTGGAGTCGCAGATGTATATCACATTTGAAAGCTTTGTAACCGAGATCCTACGATTTTCTGTACAATTTCCTTTGTTCAAACACAGGACCTGCTCACATAATCAATGCAGTTGATTTTCTAGTTCTATTCATTCGTAAAAAACATATATGCTTATGCTGTGCATTGAGATACGTAATTCCCACCTTCAAAATCCCTGAATTTCCAAGTACTGGAAGACTTGTAAGTTGGTGAGTGGACGGCTCCAACTCCAGGAATTGAATGGAATCCACGTCTCTCTCAACCGTCATGAGATCAATTCTTATTTCTCGCTGCCCACGCTTTGATTTTTTTGCTCTGAATGGATGTACTTATCTTAGAAGGTGTGAATCAATGTCAGATCCATCTTGATAGCAGATACAGATCGCGTTAATGTATCAAATTATCCAAAATTTGAACCACTATCAATCAAACATTATTCCGCTTGTGACCGAAGTTGCACCTCTTGTTCTGGTGTTTCTTCAACGAATGTCCCCTTAGTTCCAACGTTGATCCAGATTTATCCATATACATGAAGCTTTCACCATGATCTTAAAAGTGCCCATTGGCCATAAGAGATAGATTAAAAAGATTTTTGAAATATAGTTACAATCTCAATGAAGTAGTTCTCCTTTGAGAACTACTAATCAAAGACTTGAAAAGCCAAAATAATGTGCTTGAGATTTTCAAAGTAGAAACTCAGTAGGGAGAAAGGTGGGAAGACTTAGATCTGATGGAGTAATAAGTACTCCAGCATGTTGCATTTCTTGAAAGCTTTGTCATAGAGTTAGATGCGGTAGCTATAGATAGTACATAACATACTGGAGTTCGTGAAAGGTTGAATAGATTTGTATAATGTATATTCTTTGATGTTGACTTACTCTCTCATCCTTTTGAATAAAATAAATATAGTTTGACGTTTAGAATCTCTTTGTTACCATTCTACAACTAATTTGACTTAGTATTTTTGGAGCCACATGTAATTTGAAAGATTTTGATCATATTTTTTACTATACCAACTTTCACTCCAACACATGTTTTTATTCTACCGACGCACTATTGATTATCTTTTGATCTTTGCCACCAATAATTCAATTATCTCAACATTTGATATTATAGAGTCTCACCCAGAATCAAGTCATGCTACTCTTTTATTTATCCTTTTGTTGTCAAAGTCAATTACTCTCTCTACATGTCAGTATGATTCTATTTACTCAAGTTTGTTTAAATCATAATAAAAAATAACTTTATAGTCAACATTTACAAGACTTCTTGACTCTTACTACTTGGAGACTTGATACACATATATCTAGTTTGCAACTAACCGAATTGCTCAAGAAATTTACTTCTAAGTTTTTTTTTAAACATAAGAATATGAGAATTATAGATTTTCCTTGCAATGGATGGTATGACTTTGATTGCAAGCAAGCAAATACAAGATGAATTGATAAGAAGGCATTGAGCGTGCCACAATATGGTCGGCTTGAGATGCAGTGTTGAATTGCATCTATCAAACCTATGAAGTTTTTACAATCTCATGTTGTAAATCAAAATCCTACAACAGCATTTAGCAACTTGAGTACAAATGATACTTAGAGTAGTTTGAAACATCATCTTACCCTATCGAGCATGCATGGACACTCATCTCGTATATCAAAGGACTAAGGCAAAAAGATTGGATTGAAGTCTAAGATGCTATTCTTTATTGGATATTGGATTCTTCAATATATTCTATATTGAAGTAGGTTGGGTGGATATGTTGCTTCTGCAACCAAAGAACTACTCGTACTATAAGTTCTAGAGATGAGTTCTTGGATGAGGAGAATTTTGAAAGAAGCAATACATGAATAGATGTTTCTTCTAATTTCTAGACCTGTTAGTGGTGAAAAAATGTGTTGATAATAATAGAGATGGAGCATCATTATAAGCACATGTTGGTATCTAGGAGATACCTTATCTTGAAGGTTGAGAGACCTCCAAGTCTACATGTGGTAGACTTGGAGGAAGAGATAGATGTACTATATGATGTTCAATTGGAGACTTTTTAGTCTAAGAAAGTTTACATCAGAAAGATAGTGACTTATGATAAGGCTGATGATCAAGTTTCTTTAGACAACAAAGAAGTTGTTCATTTTGATACTTTGCTTAGAAGATCCAAAAGAAAAAAATTTGTAGTTGAGAGACTGATTCTTACATACATTAGATGTATATGATGCAGTCAAATACATCTCATGTATCTATACGAAATGATATCTTCATGTAATATCTAATTTACTTGTTTAGATGATGAACCGTCATCATATGTAGAAGCATCACAAAGATCAGGTTGTAAAAGTGATAGCATGCCATGATTAAGGAGAAAGAATCTCTATGGAAAGATTGCACATTAAAATTTATAGATCTTCCAGTTAGATGTAAATGCAAAGAGTTGCTTGAATCGAAATTATTTACTATTGTGACGTTTTTACTAGATATGATGTACAAGACAAAATTAGTTGCCAAAGGGACAATCAAGAACTTGATGTAGATGACTAAGAGAACCTTTGTCAACTGGAAATAAATATTGACAGTAGAAAAGTTAGAACAAACTTATAGAACAAGATTCTAAAGTTTCCACAACAAGATTGAACAACAACTCTACCTAGCAGTCTATACAAGAGATTTGCTCTTCATGGAAAAGAAACATAATCTTGTTGTAGAACCTTTAGAATCTTGTTGTAGAAGTTTGTTCATGGGTAAGTAGCGTAATCTTGTTGTAGAAGTTTGTTCATGGGGAAAGGAGCGTAATCTTATTGTAGAAACTTTAGAATCTTGTTGTAGAAGTTTGTTCATGGGAAAGTAGCGTAATCTTGTTGTATAAACTTTAGAATCTTGTTATAGAAGTTGGTTCTAGCCTTTTGACTGGCAATATATATTCCCAGTCGACAAAGGTTCTCTTAGTCATCTATATCAAGTTCTTGATTGTACCTTTGGTATCTATTTAGTAAAAACGTCACAAGAGCAAATAATTACAATTCAAGACTGGAGCAAGAGAAAATAATTTCAATTCAGGAATGGAGCAAAGACATCCACATTAATGGAAATATAAAGGAAGGATGTAATACGTTGAGTCAAACTAACCACATTGAAGGGATTATACATAGTACACGATGGACGATGCAAAGACTGTCTCGTCTCCCTTGGAACATGGCTGCACGTTCAAGAAGGAAGAAACTTGCAAAGAAACTTTTGCAGACTTGCAGTTCATATATCAAGACGCAAAAGGTTCATTGAGTTTTGTTGTAGCCAAAAACGTTCATTTTCCAACTCCATCACATTGGGGATATAGAGAAAGAGTACTAAGGTACTTGAAACGCACTCTATGTATGCATCTGAATACAGAAAATATGATCTCAAGCTTATTTCAAAGATTTTATTATCTCACGATTTATGTAATACTGCCCTTAGTAGGGAGATATCCACTTGCAGTATCAGATACAACTATGGACAATGCTAATAACTGAAATAAGATGACATCATGGTTTCTTCACTAGCTATTCAAGGGCTGATTTGGTCCAGGATTTTTATTTTGGTTGAACTAAATGTTGCTCCAAGAACTGCAACAAAACTGATAGGTGATCACACAAGAGTCTATTGCACTCAAAATATACCTTGTTTGTCATCCTCGTACCGAGCAGATCCCTATCTGTAAAATATTTGTTAGGGAACAAAATATTGACACCAGTCAACTGTCAAACTAAGGTAGTGACTACTCATGTAATACCAAAATGTTCTTAAGAGAATTTCATAGGAAGTGCGCAAATAATATGGGTATATTTCTGCCTTTTCATTAGGTGGAAGTGTCATTAATCAATCTCAGAGTTAGACCATATCAGTATTTATTTTTCTAATTTGAAGTTACAATATTTTGTAGAAAGAAAGCAGTAAAAAAAAACTAGGGTTTTGTTTGGATTACCTTTGTGGATAAGGAGTTATTAGCTACCATATTTCAGCAACCATATGGGTTATGTATTTCCATGTCCAATCTGAAAATTGAGCTCTACAGCCATATATATCATTGTCCAATTAGTTTAGCAATCAGAGAATCAGAAGTTCGCATTGGTGATCATCTTTTGAGAAAATGATGAGACCTCTGATAGCTGGTTTGCTCAGAAATCGGAGGTTAAAATAGCTATCTAGGGGTCTTCGAGTGTGGTAATGCTGGTTAGAGGGTTGCGCCCATTATAGTGTTATAAAATATACCCCTAATTGGAGTGTAGAGTGGTAGTAAGTATTATAACTGTTGATGAATCATCATCCAGAAGTGATTTACATGGATCATACACTCTGTCCAGATTATACTTATGCAATCCTCATGAAGATCAAAATCCCTCTGAAATTGGCATGATTAAAGGCCGACAGTAGTGTATAAGTGGCAAAGTCATGCACACGAAAGACACCCAACTGCTCAAGTTGTGCTCGTCACTCCACCAGCTTGATACGGACTTCGCGGTGTGTAAATGGCCAGCGTAGTATATAACGTGCTCCACTGTTCTGATTTCGGCGCCGTATACAACCAAGATTGTCGAGAGAGAAACGTGCAGGAACAGGCGCCGCCCGCCTTGACTGAAGAATAGATGTGATTCGGGCGGTGGAATTGTTCAGATCTAAGCAGTAGGAACTCAGGTCGCTGTATGAAGCTCACCGTTCGAAGATCAACCATTACCATAGGGAGTCATAGTACAGAGTCAATGTGTAGAAGCAGAAAGAACATCTGAAATTCTCGCAGAACGAATATCAGAATTCAGTCTTACTGTCAGAAACTCCAAATTTCTCACGCTTGGAGACCACACAACCATTCATCGAAAAAATATTAATTGATGTAAATTTAGAGCTTGGCGTCAGAAGGTGGGCGGCACGCTTTTGCAGTACTTTTCTGTACACTGGAAAGGATATAACGCCTGTTGCTGACACCATGAAGTCATGACTTTTTGACATTCTGGAACTGCATGAAGGCTGTTGGGGACTCAGCGTTTCAAAAGCTTCGATCTCTTTCTGTACCTGCTTTTGGGCCCAGAAACCGGCCCACTAAGCCGTTGCTTTCTATAAATCGATAAACCTGGAAAAACACAAATTTGTGCTCAGCTCATGATCAAAACCTACAGATCTAGACATTGTGAACCCTCCAATTGATCTTACTCGTTTGACTTTCAGCAATGTGTGAGATGTTGTTTCGTAGCATGAAGGCAATGTCGCATCAACCTTTTGGCGGTATATTGTTACCGAAGTATTCTGACATGAATTGTCTCTCATGAATTCAGTGAGGGTAGCTGCATTTCTAGTCCGCGTCGGTCTTGACACAGGACTGTAGGAGATTCAAAGAAAAAGGCTGTAGACTGTCTCGCTCTGGGGACGGTGCTCTGTGCGTCCTATAGCAAACACAGTGTTCTGGAGAATCCATCCACCATAGGAAGCTGATATGAACGAGAAGTGGGAAAATGGAAGACGGTAGTATTAAATAATATAATATTAAGTAATCTGCAACTTCAATAAGAGATATAAAAGAGATCGAAAACTGTGGACAATATTATCAGTTGATGTGACTGAAAGCAAACGACATCTGAAATCTCCATACTTGTAATGTAAGTTTAACCATCTCAATCGGAGAACGGCGGATATAGAAACTTTAAAACATAATAATTGGTCTGAGAGCCCCAATTTACCTCTAAATGTTATAGATCATCCATGGGAATCGTACAAGGCCTTCGCCTCAGGCTCGGTCAATCAGTACAGAGCCAAAAGACAAGACCAAGACATCTTCCTCTTATGAAAGACTCACCAGGAAGTTCTATCATGTCTAATGTCAGAACGTGGACTCTTCGGTTACACGTTCCAGTCTTTGTACAGCGGACCGAATCAGATATGAGACCTTGAGTTCAGAATTATGATGAACATCAGCCGTCAAAGCACCAAGCGCTCTGCCTACGGGTCGTCCTCACGCGCACAGGAATTGATAAAGACCATTGACGATCAAAGGCATGGAGAAGAAGTGAACCACGCTTCAGTCTTTACCTACACTCTGCATCACGCGGAAGGAAATTGGAAGAATTGACTGTTTCTATCAACAATTCTCATCAAAGCAGCTCATTTTCTTCAGTGTCACTCTCAAGACATACTCTCTGCTGATACCTTTCCACGTACGGATTTCTCACAGTTTCGACTCCTCCATTTGAGTGAATTTGAATTTGAGAAGAGTTTCCACTGACAGTCTATTTCCTATCCTAAGAACCCCATAAAAATTCTAATCATTTTACATTCTATGTTTGAGGAAATACCTTCTGTTTAATCTTCTCCTCTCTTGATCTTGAAATTTGGTCTCACTGTGAAACACAGAGCTCCTCAACATCGTCATCATCTCAGGGTACAGGTTCGAATTGAAACCCCTGATGAATTGAATCCTGCGGATTTGAGCCTCACGGGCTCTGCTCCAAAATCCCAGTGCTCTACTTCTCACTGGAGTGGTTCGTGCATTCCTTAACATATCACTCGGTCAATGTCAAGGAATTTGGAGCAGTGGTTCATTTAGCATCTCAGGTTGAGGAGAGCCTCATGAACATCAGATCGGCAGCTGTTGAAGATGCCCGTGTGCTATGCACAGTACGTACGTCGATTAATAAACCGAAAACTGCACGTTTCAGCTGTACAGTTTCGGTTCCATGTCCATTGGCTAGAACTACATGAGAATGAGATTTCTACATGAGAATTCATTGGAGATGTTTGTTCTTCATCTAACGCCTTCCGCCTGTGAATTGCTTCATCTAAGCGCATGTCTTGTCAGGAGTCAGGAACACGGGAGTTGCGCAGTTCTGTCATTTTCGTAATCAATCTTATGATCAATACATTTGACTGTCGACCCAAAACCGCAGAAAGTTAACCAGATATTCAAGTCACTAGAGTATATTGGTTTAAAAATGTTAATCCCTCATGGACTAAATATTCTCTACAATGAACATTGGGTTGATGTATATTTGACAAGGCTGAACAAATGCTTCCACAATTTCATGTTGGTTATGGATCTTCGATAGATCCATGCTGCATAAACCAACTGAAAGGTCAACGTATAAATCTAACGAGGACTTGACCTTCGGACCTGACAAGGTTGATTCTGTTGTCAAGATATACTAGATTCCATGTGCTCACGTGAATGAGGACAAAGTGAAAAAAAAATTCTCCCTTCTTTTTGGACCAAATTCATATGATTTCTGGTAAATCCAAGTCACTTACGTTTCTATATTGACTATGGAAGTTCATGATACCAAGAAGTGAGATATTTGTTCGTTTACATTCTACTAATATTGCAATATGAATATACTACAACATCAAATTTCCAAAAATTTGATAAATTAAATGATAATCGATTCAACAAGTAAAAAAATAGTTGATTATCTTTTCAAAATTATTTTGATGAGTAACTTTTGCACAATTCATGTATAGCTTTTTCGCTAATTCCATAAATTGAAAAAAATTGTGGCTATACCTTATTTCAAGCTTGTTGTAACTTGTATACCTTGAAGATCCAATTTGTTTATTTTGAAGATTTGCAATCCTAAAAAATTTATAAATTATTATTCATATTTATACAATCTATTCAACTATGCTAATAAACAAACAGATTGCTCAGTTTCTTGCCATCGTAGACTTGTGATAACGAGCTCAAATATCCACTACCACTTTCAACTCTTGAAATATTTCTTGTATCTAAACTTTCAAATTTCAGAATCTAAGATTGCATTCATGTAGTCACATTGATCATCCAAGCATTTATAGGGTTCATAAAAATAAATCTTATCAACTTCAAAATTTGGATGAATTGTTTTAGCTTTACATTGTTATATTTGATTTGAAAAAAAATTATTGGCAGAATTTTTGATACACTAACTGATTCACATCAATTTCCAGCTGATTCTAAATATGTGATTTTTATACCACTAACTATACAATTTTTTTCTGTGAGTCTCAATATTTTTTGAATAAATTGTTGTTTTTCATTTTTTTATTCATAATTTTATGCAAATGTTTCATATAGATCAAAAACTATTGTATAAATCTAGTAACATCTACAATTGAATCATCTTTTGCTATTCAAGTTTTATAAAATTTGGTTAGGTCTTGTACAAATTGGTGTTGTGAGAGGTTATATAAATCCACAAGCAAGAAATCCAACGACATGGAAATAAATGATTTGTCATTTTTGGGGTACTTCCACGAAAAGAATTAGTCTTTCACTGACGGATGTTACAATGGTTTGAGTCGAGATGTGTCTCACACTCCCATATATGCTAGCTGCGGTCCTAGTATTAATCCTCACTATGATCACCAATTCCATGGGGTAGTCCCATCCATTTTGTTACTTTAATGCTTTAATGATTTAAACTTACCATGGGGTTAAATATACTACACTTGCATATGCACATATAAATCTTGCTTACCCAAACATGCATTGTTCAATTGCAAATACTAGCAATTGACAATAATGTAAATTTTTTGATTATCTGCAGTAGTTAAGTACGCATCAAGTCATGTTGTCAAAGATTGGATTCCAGCCATAGCGGGTTAAAGATGTTGTACTTGCATATCACGTAGAAATCTTGAGTACACAAACATGCACGGTTCATCAGCAAATACTAGCAATTGACAGTGATGTTGAGTTCATAGTGAAGAAAAGTGTTTCATCACAGTGTTTATCATCAAATAAATTACAGCACCGGCTCGATTGTAATGCTTCAAAAGATGAGCATGTTCACCGGAAGGGAGTTCAAGATTGAATCATTTGTGTCGAGCTTAAAGACAAAGATTTGTGTTGTTAATTGTTCATGACTTCACCTTTTGTAGGTACCGAGAGGAATGAATTTTTGTACGTGTTGACTTGAGAGATGGTCATATCTTTTTTTGTTTAATGCTATTGTGTAAGAACGTAACTAATTTCTCGTGGGAAAAATTTTATGTGTTTTCAAAAAACTAGATCAAGTCACTATTTGTTACCTGTAATTGGATTTTGCTTGTTTGATTCGAATGTTGAGTCTGTTCTAACTTGCTTTTTCTCTTTTGATGCTATTGCTTAAGCATGTAACTAATTTTTTGTGGAAAACATACTGTCTCAAGAGTATGTTGTACTACTATTTCAGATTATTTTTTCGAATTCATCGGGAATCATTTATGCATGTTACTAATGCTCGTAGACTTTTCAGATTATTTATTCGTATTCATCGTGAATCATTCACACATATTACTAATGCTCGTAGATTGCAACAATTGAAAAATAATTCAGACTCACTTGTAATTTTTTTTCTCTTCTGGTTATATGTTATCATAAAATTGATCTTTCAGGTTAGATGAAATAGCCTGACGTTCGATATGAATGAACACAAAGACAAGAAAGTACACCAAACACGCATTTGTTGTTATTTGCAATGTAGTAGAACTCCACATTTTGTCATATATTATGTGTTTTCACAAAACTTAATCAAGTCAGTGCTTGTGACATATAATTGTATTTTGCTTATTTTTTGAATGTTAAATATGCTTTAACTTGTCAGGTAGGATTTGTTTATTCTTCTTCTAACGATGTAGATACTTTAATGTTGAGGAGTAGCATGGTCAAACTTACTCTTGTTGCGGATTCAAAATCATACTCGTCCCCAAGTACACATGAAGAGTTTATCGCTCTCTCTAGCCGAACAACAACAACATCCACTGATAGCAAACAAAAAGCCAAATTCTTTGCAAGTTGGGTTTAGAATCATTTCAAATTGGTGAAAGAATCTAATAAATCTCATATCATCTGCATCGAGCCCATAGGATCTCAGAGTAGTAAATGCATTACATAATTTTTGACCAAAACTAGAACATTATCTTGTCATCTCCTCGTAAAACACAATATGTCAAAAGCTCAAAATTAGGCGATCCTCTGCAAACTTTCTTTTAGTGTAAATGGTGAACTGTAAGATCCGTATGAGTTGAATAACAAGTCCAAAGAAGTTAATTTAAGTGCTTTGGTTGCATTTGTGATAGATCATCAGCAAGCGTTCAACCTGATCAAGAACGATACGTTTTGATCAATCTCCCGACGTTTTAATTACCATTACTCACTACCATCGTGGTAAACTCTAACATGTTCATTATCTGATCATTTTGAACGAGCACTTTTGCAGTTTTGTTCAATTATAGATTCTACAAGGGGAGCAATTGCTCTCACTCTCGATTGTTGATCAACTCGCGCAATGCGTGACGATTTGATGATTACAGTTCATTGAATTGATAAAGAGTAAAAACTTTAGTCTGTTGTGCTGGAATTTTGCTATTTTTTACCTTCATACAATCAACACACTACGTCGGACTTGATTTTTTCAGTGATGAAAGGATTCAATAGTGATCCAAGATCAAGGCTGTTACATCCGAGAGATGTCATTGGCCATGACTATTGTGAGACGGAATCTGAATGATCAATACTCTCTTTGGTTGGAGTATGATTTTCATATCTGATGCATTTGTCACGTCATCAATCGTGTTGTATGTGATGCTACACATTTCATCCAAAAAGAAGTGCAAATGCTTCGTTAATTACTCAAATCTTTTCGTGGATCCGTTGCTATCCGCGTCAAGTTCTCAAAAATTACTGTTGTGCTAGGCATTTTCAAGGATTGTGCTGAAGTTCCAAGTCTAGATATGAAAATGCGTTGGATTTCATATCCACCATGATTGAGGAGTCGTTTCAATATCATGATGTATTTTTCAACGCTCTGTAACTCCAAAGAATTCAATGATCGATTGGCCAATATGACTTTGTTCGCGATGGATTGGCGTATTCTCAAATCATGCAAAGACTTTTTGCAATCTGTATATTATTGCACTGTCGCCCCTAATGAACGTGGCTACGTTTCATTTTTTCTTCAACCTCTGATCTACAAGCATCTCCTTACCTTGTGTGAAAAATCCATTCTGAACAATTAGACACTAAATTTACCACTCCAATAATCAAACAAGCTGCTTCTTCCATGAAGCTCAATTTGCTTAAATAAAGTGTCAATCTGAATTGTCAAGACTTCAAAATTGCTTTGCTTCTTGATCCTAGCTCCAGTAATGCGTACTCTGAAACAATGGAACTCAAAGATCAGATTTGATTCATTTTGACGGTGAATTACGGCTTGTGTTCAGAGGAGAAGCCATTTTCAACCTCTTGTGTATTTAATCTATTTGCTGGAGAGGAAGACAATGTCATTGAAACGTTGCACACGATGATGAGGTCGACGACTTCTTCATCCTCACGGCAAAAGCACATCGTCGCGTGTTCAACGTAATGCTATGGTGAAAACAACACAACAACTGTTTTCCGACCTTATCCATGATGGCCAGGGACAGGTTGATGATTCAAAGTTCTTTTGTGGCATCTGAATCAGCGTTTTTGGAGAGTGGTGGATTTTTTCGTCTAGATTTATCTAAATTACCAGATGAAAACATTGATATGATGATGAAATTGAAAAACTAGAACCTTTTATTCAAGAGTATACCATTCAAAATTAATAATATTTGGATATCATTATTGATTGTATATCCCAAAAAATTGAGCTTTTTTTTGACCGCGTTAACCGAGACCATGGACAAACTTGGACCAGTTAAAATATAAGTTAACCAAGGTTAACCATGATCTGAACGCTAACAAACCTGGACAAGTTAAAGTATAGGTTAACCAAGGCTGTACCAACTGAACTGTTAACCAGTACACTTTCTCTTTTTTGACCGGTTCATTCTTAACCTGACCTTGGCCAAGCCTAGCAGTCATGATCTCAAATGATCAAAATAGGCCATGCCACAGGTCGGAGTATAAACATGGGGGCGGGGAGTGAAGGCCACAGGTCGGAGTGAAAATATGGAGGCGGGGAGTGAAGACCACAAGCCGGAGTGAAAATATGGGGGGCGGGCCTCGTCACTAAGGGCTCCCCACTTTCGGGGGAACGCGATGTTTTCCCATGAGGGCTTTTTGCCCGCAGCCCGGGGAGGGCCCACAAGCCCGACCCCTGGCTAGCAGCCGACCTCCCGGGTTTAGGGGAGCCCTTAATGGCGAGGGTCTACCTCCACCATATATTAACCTGTTTACGATACTTATTAACCACATTACACTTGTGAAGATTGAATTAGTGAGTGTCAAATTGCTAACCAAAGCCATTTTTGACTCTCCTCACAACATTGGTGTAGAATAGATCATGAGTATCAAGTTGCTAACCAAAACCATTTTTGACTCTCCTCACAACACTACTCCATCCCCCCTTTTGTGTAATCCTTCATTAGAGGGCTTTGGAAAAAAAAGGACTTGGTTTTTTTTTTGCTTCAGGAATATGAGAGGGCTTCGCAATGAGGATGTAAGGATCGGCACGTTCGGTACAATTCTCATTCATTTTTCAATCCTGAAGATCAAGGGAAAGAAGTGAAGAAAGTTCTATATTATGGCACTCAATTGTAGTGATCGTGTTTAGTCACATAGTAGGCCTGCATAATCATATTCGTCTAAGTGGATACCACATTTCACTTTTCATATCATTATTATGTATCGGAAAATCGATGAATCTAGCAAACAACGAAAAGCGTTGTTGGCATGGCATTGTTGGACCGAGTAGTGCAGGGTTTAGTGATTCATCAACGTGAAACTCATATCCCCTCCCGTGAGAACCCTGGTACTTGGATGATGTATGCTCCGTGTATAGTACATGGCATTTTCGAGACGAGAGACGTATGAGGTTATGAGTAGCAATCTTGCGAAAAAACCATATTTTGAGTTTAATGATAAATTATCATTACCTTAAACTAGGATCAGATTTTTATTCATGATAATTGTTTTATCTTGGTGAAAGCCCCAAACATGCTCCTTTATGCCTCCTCCCCTCACAAAGGGGAGGTGAAAAAAAAAACATAGTTTAAGTTCCCTGCGGGAAGGGAGGCCGCGAGGGAGAGCCCTTAGCGAGCGAGCGAGAGCGGGGCAAGCTAAAGCGGGAGGCCCTCCCTCCCTGGTCGAAGCGGGAGGTCGGGCTTTCGGGCCCTCCCCGGGAGGTCGGGCTGCGGGCCCGGGCGGGCAGAAAGTCCTCCCGGCAGACCTCGCGTTCCCCCGAAAGTGGGGAGCCCTTAGTGACGAGTGGGGGCGGGAGGGGGCCGGGGAGTGGAGGCCACTCCCCAGCCATTCCGTACAGGCGATATGGTCAAATAAAGCTACCCGACACGAAACCGTTAACCAAAAACTGGCAACCAGAGACCATCCTTCCGGCCTAACCCGGAATTTTATTTGGGTTAAAAGATATAACTTTTTACAGAATGTTTTTAATTTTTAAGATCATACATAGCTATGCCGTAAAATCATGAATATTTTAGTGGCAAGATTTGATATCACACCATTTCTGACGTCACATAATGTGGCCGCCAAAGCTTCAGATCGAAGAATACTATAATCACTTTCTATCCGAGCACTTGTTAGTTTTTAGTTGTCAAACCCTCTCCAGGCAAAACTGCCCCAAGATTCGCTTGAAAATAAAATATCAGTCTACAGCTCGTACCTACAAAAGGCTGGGTACAAAAGCATCAGACAAATGTCGAGAGGCACTTCCATGAAAGCTCTTGGTCAAATGCCATGAGTCCCACATTCAAAAAAAATCATGTGGAGAATATGATGATTTCTATATCTAGGGTAAAGTAAGCACGTGTACGAACACCTAAACCTACAGTTTATTTCTTGCCGTCATACTTCCCCTCGTGGATTTCCAGATTATAGGTCCGACATACCTGAATTTGTTTCCAACTGGACCCGGTCATCCATCCATCTATCAACCCATCCATAGTAAAAGTCACTCCATCAGTGACACTGGCGGTAGCTTTTGTGGATAAGATGGTGGTAGGACGATTTTGCAGCAGTACGGACTCGTAGCTAATGGTACTGCACTGGATCTCAGGTTGTAGAGGATGGCATCTCGCACAACCGTGGTTCATCGTGCAGCGAAGCATGTAGCGTCCACCAATTGACAAATAAGGTTTTGTTCCTCAACAACCTAAAACTCTGGTAACTGCTACTCAATGACATCTTGGTTTGTGATATTTTAATTCTAACTGCAAAAGTTGACAGCGTTTCTTCTTGTGTAACAATCTCACTGATCTCTCGAGTCTCTTGTTCGTTGTTAACAAAGCCTCAGTTAGAGAAGCACTTTTGGACTATCTATACTTTTCATAATTGATCACGATTTGTCAATGAATTTTATTACATTTTAAACAGTTAGCTTTTTTTATAAGGTCAGATGCAGCAATGAATCTCTGATTTGTCCAATATTGACCGCACGAGAGCCTCCAGACTTCAAATGATGCCAACATCAATAGACTAGAAAAGTGAGGTCAAAAGCAAAAGGCGAAAAACAACTCAGGCAAACCTTCATTAAAATGGTATACTCGTCAGCAATATGCACTGGAGCGTTATATAGAAAAAGTACAATTTTTTGCCCTAGTCCCTTCAAATATTCACCAAGCTCCTCCACGTGCTAATTGATGATCGGACTTTTCATGTAAGGTTTTGCACTGGACGTATATTTGAGTTTTAATTTGCTCATGTCTTGTACACGGAAAGATAGTAAGTTCTTGGATATATTTATTATCCATGGAAGCATTTTTTCTCCCAATGCAGAACACTTCAGAACAATATTCATCCAATCTGGTTTTTGTTATCCACCATTTCACGAATGCTTGACACGGTTTGAAGTAGAATTTGGCACTGCATGAAAATGGAGTCTTCTTTCATACATATTTATAGTTTTCTAGATAACCGTGCAATAACGTTTTCAAAGATTAGTTTTATTGTTCAACATTTTCAGATTCTTTGTTATTCTTGTATGATGTGGACATTCTTACGTTGCTTCCATTTCTAGGCCACCCTTCCGAAGCTGAGAAGCCACTACCTTCAATTTTGATTTTACAAGCAATTTGCTTGACCTTATCCCGCAAGATTGTTGCGCCTATCGGATATATTCTTGCTCCAGCTTTCACGAATCATCTAAATAATGATTTAAAATCTAATTTTTTTCACTACAGAAAGAAGCAATATCATTAAGATTGTTACAATCATAATGATCTTACATATTTTCAGCACCTTGTAGACGGTGTTATATGTAGATATTTTAGTTGCAATTGAAACATGTATCAATTGAAACCTGACCTCATGGAACGTCACTTATTCCACCTTTATTGCTACATTGCCTTGTACCAAGGAAAAATAGTACATTTGGACCATATATGTCTACAATCAAGCTCGTGGTTGGAGCCTAGCCTCGTTGTGGGCTTCCCATCCTTATTGCTTTACTGCCTGGTCTCACAGTATATTCCGGCATTTTGTGAATGGGTACGAGCGGGAGCGCAATTGATATATTGGACTTATAGGCCTTCCCATCGTCATTGATAAAATACGAAGACAAATACACTATAAAAATTGCCTCACTTTTTTACGGGAAGCAAACTTGTGAATGCTGCTTTTAACGTAAATTACTGCGATTGACATACCACAGCATAGCCATGACGCCCCTATGGCATAGCTGTAACAATATCCGTAGCCTAACGCTGCAAGGTTCTACAATGGGTCTATAAGCTCTTTACTTCTTACGTGAACTTCTACGCGGAAGGGCAATGTTTTCTTGTATAAGATGCCGCGAAAATACGACTGACAAATAAGTAGCAATTGGGAAGTTCTAATAACGTGTGCCAGTGTGCCTCTTGCAAAGACAATTTCCTCGTCACCCGCCGTACACATGTACCGTCCCCACGATGGGTAGGCGCTTTCCTTCGATACGCAACAAAGTCTGACGCCGTTGTTACCGTTCCCACGCTCGACACAATTTCCACATATCTAGGTCAATCTTCCTCCTGTCAACAGTTAAACTGGGATTTACGTGCACACGGGATTGTACTATGCTCACGACTTCGCAGAGAATGAGATTTGAGTCAGAATCTCATGTTAAGAAGTATCTTGGAAGGTGCTACAGTCTCATTCCCAATTCTTAAGACAGCTGTCCCACGAAATTCCTCTTGATGTAGTCGCTGGTCCAGAATGTTCGCTACACTTCGAATAGGCGGATTTCAATGAAGTCCAGAAAGACCTACAAACCCTACATATTGCTCACTCGTTTGAGAACTTCAAAAAAGCTCACCCCATCTTGAAGAAGGTAGTGAAGTAGCTCCCGAATATGGGAGAAACAGAGCAGAGAACATACCACGTGGGAAACGATTCCCTCTAGTACAAAGAGTAACTCCCATAAATGTTTTCCAGGTATAAACAAATATCCTTTCACCACATTGTTCATATAGTTTCTTTCACGGTCCCGGTTCCAACGGCAAAAACATTCGCGCTGAATTGTTCTAGCAATAACATAATGGTGCATGACTCACAAACTGCCCGACTGAAAATGTAGCTTGAATAATGTGGAGGAGCGTAGAAATTACAGAAGGAATGATCCACAACTGTATAAGGACCAGATTGTTTTCATGTAATGATGATGCATTAGCTAGATGCATTTGACAAACACTGACCCCTGAGACTCGAACCATTTACAGGTTACATTGCAAGAATTGGATCGGAAGTTAGCACCATGAGTCCACATAGCTGAAAGATAATCCCCTTTCACCTTTAACTGCACAAAAACATGCTAAGGATGTGCAGCCCTGATTAAAGCTGGAAGCTCCTAGTTTGTTGGTAGCAGCAATGCATAACCAAATAGCCACCCTCTGCAACCGACCAGCACCATCAACCACTTCAGCGGATGCTCAAGCACGTGATCTGGAGTGCATATAGTCTCTTCTGGTTCTCCCAGCAGGTTTGAAATAGTTTAAATTAGATGAAAAGGTTGTTTTCGGCATCATGCATTATAAAACCTACATCTACTGGGCATCTCACTCCATAGCAATGCCACTCTTACTAGGTAAACTAACCTATTTCTCGCTTCATAATGCCGAGAGCATTCTCCACACTTCATCCTACCTGGTTAATCCTGAACCCATCTTGCATTGGTGAAGATCTTGATGAACGGCGCCTTAGAAGATATCACCTTGATCTCTCAGGAAGGAACCGACAAAGGCAGTTACCTTCGGCTGTTTGCAGTGAAGAGGACATCAGAAGAGTTAATAATTCACTGGCGATCCACCTTAGGCTGTTTGGGAGGAGGCGGCCCCATACTACCTGTATCGGCTTTGCGTTTAATTCCCAAAAAATGTTCGACCTGTAAACAACATGAAATGACTTAGTACAATTACAAAACGACTACTTCAAATACTGGATTACATTATTACTTTTTCCCAGTATGGTATAAACACGAGTCTTTTGAACGAAACAACAGAACTTTTGAGGAGGTGGAAAAAAAAAACTAAGTCACTATCTGTGATACAATGACGAAAGATATAAATTAATGATCCGTGTATCACAAAATCACAATAGATGAACACAATTTGATACTTTGAAAACTGTATACAACCTGAGAATGATAGGGGAACGGCAACAAAACTTGCAGCAGCGTATCAGTAAGGGGCTACAAGAATAACATTAAGAAACATATGGTACAGCTCTTCTATAGTGAAATTTATAGAATAGAGGCTAGTTGAAAGAACGTAATATCTATAAATAGATACTCCAAGTATCACAATACACTCAAATAGAGGGAGACGGCTTGATACTACAAAAATCTCATCCAACCTAAGATTCTTAAGGTAACGGCACCAAAACTAGCGCTACAGCATTAGAATGCGGATACATCAATAATACTTAAAGCCATATGGCTGAATTCTTTTTTGTTGAAACGATAACAAAAGAAGATACTGGATATAAAATAATTTGCGTGCCAGTAAAGTCAACTACGATCAGGGAGAAGTCAAGTTGAAAGTCATTCAAAATTAATTGAATCTCAGATACATCAATACAACAAACTGTCAGCTTCAAGGGCTGAATGATAAGTAGCAGTACGCTTGTGACAAGAATTTAAGATTACTTTGCGTCACTTCACGGCTATAGTGAAACTCCTTGCAATACGGACGCGCTAACTCTTCATATATGAGTTAGTCAAGTACCTAACTAAGACAATTACCGAAACAGTCAATGGAAAGGGCAATGATATAAGCTCCATGAAGACTTTACTCAGAAGTATTTTACTTTGAAATTTTAATCCGCGATACTAGTAATAACATACTGAGACGAAGAGGTAAGATGATATGAAGAGTAAGCGAAGACGATTGAGGGTCTTATCCTAGCAGTTCTCCGCATGCATGTGGTTTGTTGGATGCTTCGGAGTAATTAGACAATTTCAGCGATCCCTTTACTAGATTGTCTCCCCTTCCCCGCTTTCCCCTCTCGCCAGCTAACATACATGATACTATGATAACAGCGACAAAGGTAAGAGAAAAGACGGATGAAAGTCGAGACATACATGTTTTACATCATGATACTTCCGGCACCAGTAAACAAAACATACCCAGAGAAACAATAACAAACAAAAAGCTCAAAAAGATTTCCACCTATAATACTTTGTATGTATACCGAAGAAACGTTCCGTGAGAAGAACGAGAATCTAAAAATATCAAGTCTGTAAAGCTTGAAACTATTCCTTACCTTCTTATCACCTAGCATAGGTGTAAGACTCCCAACTTTGTCCCCCAACATAGGAGTAAGACTGCCGATAGGTTCTTTCTCAACTGTAGCAAATCCACTTCTTGGATCGCTTGTTTGCCTGCGTCATATTCCATGGATAGAAAACAAACAGTGAAATTATGACGAAGCCCAAACAAGAGAAAGATATTTTGACGGCATATTGTGACCAGTTCCAGCTACTGAGCCATACCCTGGTTTGATGTGTCCACTGATGACAATATATGGAGTGTGCATCTTCGCTTGAGCCTCACGCATCTTCTCCATGGACATCAGTGGAGTATCACCAGAGTTCATCTGCTTCAATCTCAACTCTTCTTGCCACTGCTTCATTCTCTTCTCTTGCTTCATCTTGCCAGGTCCTTTACCATGAAACTTGTGTGAAAGTTTCCGGAATGCTTCCTTGGGCGTCATCTGATCCAAACAAACACGTCACATGAGTTAAAAACAAAATAGAAAGCGGCAGAGAACACGTCCCTTCTGCCATGCCGAATTACCATAACGATTCATAAAATGTTTAGAAAAATGAGAATTGTCCAGAGATGCCCTTACCGTCCGTCCAAATTCATCAACTCGATCTAGTAGGATGTCTCTCTGGCCCACTTGATTGTTGGATTCATCTACAATCCCAACGAGCTTGCTCCGCTTCTTGTCCATATTTCGACCTCCCCAATCTACGGTTTCTTTAAGAGTTCCTCTCTCCTTCAACAAACTTAGTGCGCCTGCTAAACCTTTACCCACGGAAACCTCTGTTATGGGCTCTTCTACTCCTCCGGTTGAATCGTCCTCCTCTTCAACGGAAGGATGTATCTTGTCAAGTTCTGACACCTCTGTCCATCCTCCGGCAGCCTTAGATGTGTCTTCCTCCATTTCCTCGGGAGGAGCTTCCTCATCCTCCTCTCCAAAAGCATCTTTCGCTCCAGCTCTTCGGATGATTACTGCAATGAGCGCAACCCGGAAATACGACATATGATTGGGTCAAAGGAGTTCCACATTGTATACGGACTGACACTTGACTATGTAAAGATAAACAATATTACACTTTTAGTTTTAAAATCTGACTCCCATCAAGGTATGTTGAAACTACGTGATGAGTGAAAGACCCAACACAAATCGACCAACCTGTCATTTTCACAATCAATTTGGAGGCAGCATAAAGAATAAGAATAGGTAAAGCACACAAGATGCTTGTCAAATCTTAAAGTATACAACTTGAACTCTTTTGCCGTACGAAACAGCCATATGTTTCTATCAAATGACAATCTGGATCAGATTGACATACTTGCTCGTCAACACACATGAATCTTACCATCATCTAATTGCAAGCTTCGACAAAATTCACCAGTGTCCGTGAATACAAGACGGTTGTCCTCAATGTCCGATCCGGGTACAGGTTGACTAGGTTGTGCACTTTGTTCACTCAGAGCAACCAGTCGAGCAGCAATTGCCTGCGGACCACCTCCTGCTTCCCTTTGTTTCTTCAAAGCAGCCTGCCTAGCCTTGTCTAATGATTTATAAAGATCATCCTCTTCCTCTCCTCCAAACACAGGCAATTCCGTTTCATCAACATCCATCGCTTGAGGCATGCTCTCTTCCTTGAGTATCCTGGATGCATCTTGGCCTTTCCTCAAGGCATTATCATAGGCAGCTTTCCTAGCGTCTGCTTGAGCCTGGTCATCCAATTGTTTCTTTTCCCGTCTTGCCTCGGAATTTCTTGAACCAAGATCATCTCTTCCCAACCCGGCTGCAACTGCCTCAGCCTCAAGCTCATCGAGGTCTAACTTGTCTTTCTTGCGGAGCTTTTTCTTCTTCTTGGGTTTTCTAAATTGCAGCATATCTTCCTGGGTGAAGTAATCTGAAGCGATGTTCATAATCCCATGCAACGACACTTTTGCAGAGACACCCTCCAGTCTCAACCGAGCCTGCAATAAAAGGAAAAGAGTTTTAATATAGTTGACCAAGGGATGTTTACCCAAAATAAACAATGAGAAACGGATATTGTTTTAAAAACTTACCTCTTCTAGTCTCTTTTTACTCTCTTCATTTATTCCTCCGGTTTCGTCCAATACTACTCCCTGCCAAGGAGCCATGCTTTTTCATCAGTACGGTTGAACATCCCAGTAGCGTTGATGTAAGATGTCCAAAGCCAACGAAAAGTGATCTCACCGAGAATAGACTCAAAGCCCACATACCTCATCTTTGACAATATCATCATACTGCGGTAAAATTGTTCTCGGAGCAGCATTGATGTCGTTGTTGAACCTAAGGAAGCCAGGGCAATTAATGATTATTCAGTACTCTAAAAGATGTCATCAGGCCGAGCTTGCAGAACCCACACCAAAGTCGGGACGAAAGTGAACGACTAGCAGAACATTCAATATGACGATATCGGGTTATACTTGTCTTCGTATACTCCTGTCTTCTTCTTGGCTGCTTTGTACGCGTCCTCCCGAGCTATTTGTTGAGCCATCTCAATATTTTCCAGTTCGTCCGTGGCTGCCGCCATGAGTTTCAAAACGAAGATTAATTTACTTGGCAGCATCCATAATGTTTCGCTGTACGTAGAACATTCTAAAAACGACTGCTCTTATATCCTAGGATTTACTTCTCAGAGAAACAAACCCATCAATGTCCAACAGTAGGGAACATAAGGACAGGCCTGATACACCATGCAAGAGTGACACGCATCATACTTCAACGAACCTTCATTCACGTCATCCCCGTCAAGAACATTGACATCCTTCAGGGTGAGAACAACAGCTCCTCCTTCCATCACTTTGTCAAGGCCATGCCTGACCTTCAAACCCGCCAGATCCTCTGCACAACGACTGAACAATCAAGACGGAGCTATCGAATATCATGGAACCGAGCTTCGGATTCCTGAACATACTGTAACAATTTATGTTGTTTCAGCATCTGCAAGACCAAATATCCCTTAATAGTGCGGAGATATGATCGCCCTACAACTACCCAAGAGAGTCTACGTAAGCAAAAAGGACGAAAATATGTAAACGACTTACTCCCTCCATATCCACTACTCCTTAGTTCGTCGCCACTATCGTCGGCATCCTCTTCAACGTCCTGAAGTGAGCCAAACAGATATTTGAGATGCAGGCTAGTAAATTTCCAGGGTTCCACTCGATGCACAATGAAAAACCACAACTGTTCCTTCTGAAAACAACAACGACATGATAATGACATCTCAAGATCCTAACCTTTTTTTTTACGGAATATGTACAAGGAGACTGACCTGCTCTGACAGAATCTTGGCCATGCGTGCTGCCTTCTCCATTTCATCTCGCTTCTTTTGTTGCTCTAACATTCTACTCTTGTTCACCCATGACATAATGTCATCCTGAGGGTCGCGCTTCTTAGCAGATGACCTCTGCTCAGCGTTCGCCCTTTGTCTCTCCTCTCGCATTCTGGACAAAAGGGGAGTTCTTAAAAACTTGCTCACTCAACGATATTAGGGGATGTCGAATGCAAAAAACCATAAACCCAGGACGCACCTGTGGCACTATATTCTGGAATCCCGTGAGTTCTTTCAAGGCAATAAGTGGCCCGCAAGCAATTCCAGGAAATAGAAATTATTTCACGCCGGAGTCTATCAGAGTCGTATTTGCATTATCCAATTCCGTACCAGAAAGAAGAAAGGAAAGAATGTCACGACCTCTGGTAGAGTCAACGAAGGAAGCTGGTGAAACAGGGATTTTAAATCGAATATCACCCATAACCAGTGAAAACAAATACAGGAAAAAACGATGGTATATAGTCAACGAACAAAAGCGTAAGAGCACTAAAAAATTGTTAACACAATACACCAGTTGCGCTTGAAGATAAAAGTCGGGAAACTGCTCTATAAACCGCAATTCAGAAACATTGTGATCATATAATAAGATAATCGATCCGACATGCCTTGCAAGTGTGGGGCCTTTCACAAGAACTTAAACCCTCAGCAAGCGGATTGTTGAGAGCTCTAGGTAAAGCTTGCCTTTGCAAGACTTTTCCGGTGAACAACAGGGCGTCTTGCCTTCCTATAGCAACCAAACCACAGCCGAAGAGCTGCTGGGAAGGGATGTCACCCAGAACTTACTATAAGTTCAGGAGAAGGCAAGGCTCACTGGAAAAGCTGGCAGTGGTGTAATTCGTAGCTTTTTGAAAATTCGACTAGACTTTTAAACGGTAAATTTTTAAATCAAGCACACCAAACAATGGCATGTAAAACTTGTTGCCAGCTATGTTTGCTGACATAATTCACATAAGTTAATCAGCATACTTACTTGGCAATGCGCTCTTCCAAGGCCGAGGTAGAAGCCTGAGGTTTAGAGGAGTCCTTCGAAGACTTATCATCTCTTTTTCTTTCCCTTGTCTCCAGGTCATGATCTCGCTCCTTTTGTCGATCTCTGTCACGCTCATCTCGGTCTCTATCTCTATCTCGCTCATCTCGATCTCTATCTCTATCTCGCTCATGATCTCGCTCTTTTTCTCTTCCATCCCTGTCCCGTTCATGATCTCTTCCACGGTCTTTCTCCTTTAATCGCGACTTCTGACGATCCTTCTCCTCTCGTTCTCTCTCCTTCTCCCTTTCTCGTTCTCTATCCTTGTCCCTGTCTTTGTCTCGCTCCTTTTCCCCTTCACCCACCTTCTCCCGATCTTTTTCTCTATCACCGACACTCTCCTTCTCTTTGTCTCGCTCCGCGACCTTCTCTCTATCTTTCTCCCGCTCCTTCTCGCGCTCTCCGAGCTTCTCTCGTTCTACAACTTTTTCTCTCTCCCTCTCTCGCTCTTTGTCCTTCTCCCGTTCTTTGTCTCTGTCTTTCTTAGATCGATCCTTCTCTTTTTTCTTGTCCTTGTCCCCACCTCTGTCTCTCTCCTTATCCCTTTCTCTGTCTAAATCCTTCACCCTCTCCTTTTCTCGTTCATGTTCCTTCCCTCTATCCCTGTCGTGTTCTCTGATTCTACCATCCTTTTCCTTCTCTGGGTCCTTTGCCCTATCCTTCTTCTTCTCGGAATCTCGATCTTTCTCTTTAGACTTCAGCTTCTCCTTCTCGCGAATTTTCTCCCTTTCCTTCTCTCGCTCCCTATCCTTATCCCGTATTTTATCCCGCTCCCTCTCTTTCTCTCTATCTTTCTCCTTCTCGTCCTTCTCTCTTTCCTTCTCCTTCATCGTTGTTCTGAGCTCCACAGACTCAATTTATTTTCGATGACCTCAGCTCCTCAGCATTCAAGCTGCAGTTTTCCGATTCCCTCACAATGAGACAAAGCACAAAGGAGCTATGCTAGGAAGGAATCGAACAAGCATTCATCACTACAGTCTAAAGAGTCCGTTAGGGTTGATGATTTCTATGACACACAATGCACATTTATGGCATTCAGATCATATGTTTGCCCTCGAGCTCAATTCGCAAATCGAACGAAGGGCGAACTGGGAGAAAACTATCGATTCATAAACGAACGGAAAATCAGCGAAAATTCGAGACTTCATTACGACCACCCTACACCGAATTCCCCTCACATCCACAATTGTTCAGAGAAATTTCTCACTCGATGGAGTAAGGGGGAAAAAAAAAAGCATCGTGGTGATGACTTACCTATCAATGCTGATAAATTAGTTGAAATTGCACACAATTCCTCGTCTTCCTCCTCGGGGCTCTGTGCAAGTTTCAAAAAACAGACAGTGACCGGAATCGAAAGAGCGAGCCACTAATGCCCGAACTGTAGAAGTCCTAATTCGAAGTCTGGTTCTACTCTCAGCTCTCATCTGCACTGCCGCTTCTCGACATACTTCCAGATGTGATGATGGCTTCAAACGCTACTGGACGTAGAACTACAACCGTGACGTAACTACGTTCGCTCGTCACACCCACAGGTGTAATGAAGTAACCTAAATCCATTACGTGGTGACTAGTTCAGTCTTCTTCACATCTTCTTCACAATCCTATGTAACATATGAGGAATGTAAAGAGTGACGATTTTTTAGAACACAATTTCCGGCGGGAAGAGTTAGTCCCAGCCAATTATATTTCTCAATCACATGATGCTTATTTTAATAAATTAAGAAGATGTAATATCTTGGGAAAGATTGGACAATGTAGAAGAATTGCCAATGTATTCTAGGTCAATAGCTAATTCTAGGGGTTTTTTTTTCAATACTGTACATCCGTTATGATGCTTTTTGCATACATTGGTGACAAACCTCTCTAAAAGTATACATGAATTATGGTATACACTCGTCCATTTGCTCTCTATCCAAGTAATCACTTTGTATAGTTCTCTTTCACCTAAATGCCAGTAACTTCGAGGGTCTTTACTAAGTGGATTATGTAGATTCTTGTTAACATAAAAAAAATTCACATAGTTCAGATAGATGGATTTTTCACAAAAAATCTTCCACTATTAAACTTAATAAATACAAAACCACGTGTATCAATCCTATTCTAACATTTTAACTTTTATTTCAATTAAGATAAAATTTTACAATAAACTATCAGTTTATTCAAATTTTATATATCATTTATATTACAAATCTAATCTGATAATACTAAGAATAATTTTGCAATTTTAACTTTGAATGTCCCATCTATAATTCTCATCATGGATTTTAAAGTATCGTAATTGAGTACACTTTTCAATCCCAAGACAAGTTTAAGTAAATAGACTTTTTTTGATGATCTTTAAGTTTTTTTTAATGATGATCTTCACTCTGATTCAATAATTTTTAAGCTTTAAATCATATGTTCTGGGTCATAATATCCAATCATGTTGACTTCTCAAAAATAATACAAACATTGTCAAGGTTAAGATAATCTTTTAATGTTATCAACATTGTTAAATGTTAATAACACCCTTGTATTAAATTACGTGTTTTATATCAAAAGACAAAGTCAACATGTATTATCATAATTTTCTAGTATTTTTGTGACAACAGCATATATTAAATCTACGTCTACAAGAATGCAATATCATACTCTTAACAACATCCAATTACATATGCAATTTATCATCTCTTTTTTATAATATTTTTGTTGAAGTATATCAAACATAGTAACATAATTCATATACTCATACAATTACTTGATGACATTAGCTTGTGGATAAAATCAACAAACTTTCAGACCATAACGTTCATATCAATCTATTTATACTCTTATATCAAATCATTTTTTGGTCTAAATTGTTAGATTATTCATCACAAGAAAATTCAAAAGCACCACAAAGATTTACACTCACAAGAGATTCAATTCTATAGGCTATTTTCACACAAACAACTCAAATTTCTTTTCAAAAAACACTTATGACTTTTGAAAACTCTCTTATATTGTGAATTCTAACAAACTTCAGTAATTGAGATTGAATTCATCTCGATTAAATCAAAACATAATTTTTTCTAAACATTAAAAAATCTTAATTAATTAATTTTAACATGTTTTTTGCTTGAAAATATTGCATGCACATAAAATTTCTCCAGGGAAGTTCAAACAAGTTACTCTAGAGTAATGTCTTGAAATTTTAGTTTGAATCCTTGTTGTGCAATAATATGAATACTAGATAAAACACCTAAGAACGATAAATGTGAATGAGTGAAAGTTTCTAGATGCTGCTGATAAAAAAAACCTAGGTAAAAAAATTATTACAAAAAGATCTATACATAATATATTATAAACATGCAGAGTGAAACTAATATGAATACACAAAGAGTTGAATTCAAAACACTTAAAGTAATCAAGGCATGAGGCTCAAATAAATAAATATTATGCAATTTCAAAACAGAAAAAGATTTTAAGGTATGTTGAAAAACAATGTAGGAAATAATGAGAAGACAAGTGGCAACTTCGCCAAGCATGGCATAGCAAAACAACTTGTAGAGTACAAATAAGTGCAAATAATTGATGAGTGAAATGGTTTTGATTGTGAGAAACTAGAGTAAAAGTCATTCATTTAGATTTGATGATTTAGATTTAGATTTGATGATGACAAACTAGAAACCATTCAAAATAAACCTAAATGACCCAAACTTTTCTAACAATCTTGCCTTGATGCAACATAAAGTAACACATGAAACACATTTGACATAATTGATACATAGTTCATTTTTGGTAAAACAACATACATGGTGACACAATATAACTTTACTAAATCATAGTTGGTTTGCTAAGAGCTACAATTAATACTTTAAGAAAGTTGAAGACAAAGTGCACTAACTAATGATGATTGAATTAACTAAACTTGACCAACTAACACTTAAGGCCATCTAAAATATGAGATATTTAAGAATAATAATATAAAAAATAAGTTTAATATTAAATATAAATAGATTCATAAAAATATTTATAATAAAATTTTTCCACAACTAAAATTTCAACGTCCAAAATTGTGTTTTAAATTTGTTACATGATTACAAAGTAAGTGAAATATACAATACTATTTATAGATATGTGATAACTTGTGAGAAATATTCATTATTTCTCTTTCAAAGCTTTTCTAAGCAGATAATGAGCTTTAGTTTCCAATAGTGATGATTTTCAAACATTGTTTTTGTTTCTTAGACTTCTATGAATTCTTTTGTACTCTATCTGGTGATTTAAAGATGCTAGTAATAGTGAATAGTTAGAGAAGTAATAACAAAAAAACATAGACACGTCTATAAATTCTTACTTATAGACGCATGCAAGGTAGAAACAAATAGGAAAGACATGGGTTTTGATCTAACAATATCACAATGAGAATGATATCATCCAACATCAAATGAATGAAATCAAAGAATATATAAATAATATGAACATTGTAGATTCTTAGGTAGTGGAAAGATATTATAAAAAAATATTGCTTTTTGAAATAGCATATAATGTTATATATGAAAACACATAATTGGTATATGTTGTTCTTCAGAATGAAAAATAGCAAACAAAGGAACTTTTTGGCCCAATTGTTCCAATTACCAAAAGGTCGTTAAAAAGATAGCGAAGTGCAAAATTGGAATAAGAAGTTTAGGGTGTAGAGTTATTGGTATACAATACTTCAGTAAACAAGGAACGTATAATGCGTTCTTCTCAGCATGGAAAATAGTGCTTCAAATGTCCAAGTCCAAACAAATTACTCTCTTCCACTGGTTTTTGCAAATTCTTGTCGCTACTCAACGAGAATTATATGCTAATCTTGTCTAAGACTCATGGACTCTTGAATCCTTTCCGCTCGAGCGCAATGCAATTCCTTTTAGGATGCACTGTATTTACAACGTCCAAATGTCTGAGATGATGCTGAAAAATGAACAAAGACCTAAATCTGTGACGGTATTTGCGAATGCTATGGCTTGAAAAATGGTTTGCTTGTGAGTGCTTCCATTGGATAGACTGGATGATTCCGCTGGTTTACGAGGCATACCAAAAGAAGACTGGGCAGTGAACCGATATTCTTCATTTCAAGTTCTGATTGGACTATGTTGCACACTAAGCTCTGCCCTTGCATATTTAGAAGGAGAAATTAAGTTTATTGATGGTTCAATCTCAAAGTGGACAAGATTCTGTACTCTCTTTCCAAATTCTGGTGGAATGTTACAAATGCTTTCCAACTGCAGAGTCAAAGATGCCCCATACTATGCGTAAATTTACACTCATCAAAGTAACAGCAAGGTCTCAGACCATACTCCACATGGAGCAAAAGAGTACGACGTATTCTTTCTGACTATCCAGATTCTGTTGGAAAGAAGTTGTACAAAGCTCTGTCTGTCAATGCACAGCAGCAAGCCAAGGACGCTTCCTGTGAAGATTGTTCTCTGTATATCTTATCACATAAACAACATACAGAGAAATGGCTCCCAACAGCACAAATGGCTCTCGCAAAGCTTGTCCATATGAAATCCTCATCCTCGTACATACTCCTACAATTCATTTGTGTGAAATTTTTCTTGTCCAGCGAGTGTGGATATGGCCCGCAACAGTATGATTGTTAAATCTCTCGGTGCTCTGCTGATCACCGTAGGGCTCCAGCTGACTGGATCAGCTAAACGAAACACAAGCTTGTAATTTGGGTAACCTGCACCTTAAGTAGCCCTTCGTTCCGAGAGCATCGCTATGGTCAAACACCGGATCCTCGCAATTTGTCTCTAAAACCTATCCCATGAATTTAAATTCGGAAATTGTGCTCCAACATATGTATCCAGTGTAAGGATGGACAGACTGTAAGACCGGATATTGCATGTGTGAAATAAAACTAGAATTAGCCAAAGAGTTAATCATGGTTAGTATAGTTAAGACTAAATCTAGCTAGTTATGACCAAGTCTAGCTAGTTTAGCTATAATGTATATACTTGGCGGAATAACTAGAGAGGTTCTAGAAGATTTGAGTGAACACTTCTATTTTGTCTTTTACAAAAGTCTAGATTTCAAGAGAAAATACTTTTTGACTTCATGTTTAGTTTTGATTGGTTTGACTAAAGTAAGGAGTACTCCATTGGTTAGACTAAGTCTAATGTTGACTTAGTGGAAAGTGGAAGTTCTAGAAGTTAGAAAGTCACAAATGGCAAGTCGCTACCTCAATCTAGGGATTAGTAATCATTTAGAAGGTTTAGGAGGTCAATGGCATGTTGCCACATATTGATAACTAGTCCACCTTACTATGGTTATCTTTGTAAAAGCAAGTTAGATATGAATTACCATTTGTTACTATGGTAAATTCTCAAGTAGTATATATAGAGAGGTGGGGAAGAGACTCTCAAGCAAGTTTGTATGTAGAGACTTGTTTCATATATGAAAGAGTGACGAATTTTTAGTACCTTGAAGTGTCGATGAGTTTGTGAGTTGGAATGATACCCTTGA